CTAGTTGATCTTTCTGATGTTTGGATGTAGTCAGGTACTGGTATTTCAGTTTCTTGATGTAGTATTTTATGAAACATGAGAAGACGTGATGTTTTTCGCCTTAACTCAAGAATTGGTAAGTTCAATTTATCTAAAAGTGAGGTAATTGTTCCTGGGTCTTTTGAATATTCCCTTGCAATGAATCTGGCAGATCTTCTTTGAACCATTTCCAGTTGTTGTATATGTTTTTGTAGATAAGGATCCCATACACTACTTGCATATTCCAGATGTGGTCTCACTAATGCCAAGTATGCTTGATGCTTTATTTCTTGGGGAAATTTCCCTAGATTTCTCCTGACAAGTCCGAGTGATCTTGTTGCTTTGGTGGTTATGTTGTTTATGTGATGGTCCCATGAGAGTGTTGATGTCAACTCTACTCCAAGGTATGGATTATGGTCTACTTTATCCAGAACATGTCCATTCATGTGGTAAGGGAAATCTATGATGTTTCGTTTTTTGCAGATACGAAGAACGTAACATTTGGTGGCATTAAAAACCATTTGCCATTTTTTTTTTGCCCAGCGAATAAGAGATGTTAGGTCTTTCTGCAATTTTTCATAGTCACTCTTGGAAGAAACAGCAAGATATAATAAGCTCTCATCAGCAAACAATCGGATAGATGAGATGATGTTATTACCAATGTCATTAATGTATAACAAAAACATCAGGGGGCCAAGGACTGTTCCTTGGGGGACTCCAGACTTCACATGGACTGATGAAGATTCCTCACCATCTACAAGTACCCTCTGTTGCCTTGTTACCAGCCATGACTCTATCCAACTGTTGATGTTTCCACTGATGCCGTCATGGTCCAACTTTAGAAGAAGTCTTTTGTGCGGCACCGTATCAAAAACCTTGCTAAAGTCTAGTGTCAAGAGGTCTACCTGTTGTTTTTGATCTAGTTTGTGTGATATCTCTTCTACTGTTATGATAAGCTGAGATTCTTTGTCTGAATCCATGCTGAAATTCCACTAGTATTTGATGTTTTTCAAGGTGTTCCATAATGTGCTTAAACATGATGTGTTCCATTATTTTACAGGGGACTGATGTCAATGAAACTGGCCGATAGTTTTCCGGTTTACTTTTGTCTCCCTTTTTAAATAAAGCTATGATATTCGCTGTCTTCCAGTCATCAGGTACATTCTTTGTTTGGAGTGTTTTCTTAAATATAAAAGTCAGGTAAGGTGCGATCTCTTTTGCAGCTTCCTTTAGGATCCGACAGGATATTTGGTCCGGTCCACTAGCCTTTGCTACATTGACACTATGCAGTAAATTTGATATTCTTTCTACGCTGATGTGTAAATCTCCAATGACTGGTGCTACTGGTGTTCCAAGGTCTGGTGTTGATTGGATATCTTCCATTGTGAAAATTGATTCAAATTGGTTGTTCAGGGCCTCAGCTTTCTGTTTGCTGCCTTTTATGCTTATGTTGTTTACCTTACGTGTGGACACCCCACTATTATCCCTCTTTGCATTTTTGATGTATGAACAGAATCTTTTGCTGACTCCGGCTTTCACACTGGGGTTATTGTCACTTTTGGTCGTGTCTGATGATGTATTCAACAGGTTTCCGATGTATTCTTGATGTCCTTTCTCTAGTTCTGCTTTCACTTGCCTGCGTAGTTCTCTAAAGTGTTCCCAGTCCTCTTCCTTTTTGGTTTTTCTAGCTTTATTATAGCATCTTTGTTTCCGCCTGATTAGTTGCTTGATGGTTCTATTAATCCAGGGAATGTTCCATCTGGTAGTTAGCAGTTTGGATGGGATGTACTTATCCAGTAATGATGTCAGGATGCTTTTAAAAGAACTCCAACATTCATCTACTGGTGTATTGATATTATCATTACTGAAATTGCGATATCTGCTATCCAGTTCTTTCCTAATCCCTTCCATGTCTCCTCTCTTATATACATACACTTTCCTCGGTCGTTTCTTATTTGGTCTTGTCTGGATGTCTATATCGAGTACTACTGCCTGATGGTCACTCATACCGTCTTCAACAGATATGCTTTTGATTATCTGATCTAGATTGTGGTCCCCTAACACTTGTAGAAACGTATTATTGATTTCATAGTTATATTGTGACCTTGGTTTTATAGTTGTTGCATTGTCAGCCCAGTTAATATCGGGTAAGTTAAAATATCCTGTCAGTAGTAGATTTGGTAGTGTCTTTCCATGATTGAGTCTATTCAGGAAGATGTTTTAAAGCTTCTAATGCTTCTGTGTCGTTATCTGGTGGCCTATAAAAACACCCTGTATACAGGGGTTTACTGCCCTGCACTTGTAGTTTTGTCCATGCTATTTCACAATTGGTCTCTAATGTTGTTTCTCCACAGGCTATGATATCTTTACGCACTGCATTAAGTACTCCCCCACCTGCATGTCCTTCAGTAAAGAGTCTGTCTTTGCTTTGCACTTCGTAAAAGTCTGGATCTAAGAATTCTGATGTTTTTATAGACTTATCAAGGTAGGTTTCAGTTGCATGTATATGTGGATTGTAATGATCTATTCATGACATGAACTGGATAGCAGATATCACAATTTCAGTAATGATCATTTGACCCCATTCCCATCACCTTTAGTACATGTTTCACACCTCGAACAAAGGATTTTTGCTGCTACCAAATCACTTGGTACACCCCAAGCCCAAGCTTCATGGTTGGGCGACTATGCCATTGTGTGCATAATTATTGATCAAATCATTACCAGTGATAGGTAATTATACAATCAGGGACACAGGGCAAGGTAAACAGACAATGAATAATGGACCTGATGTGCTACATAGTCAAAAAAAATCTACATAGTTACATAAATTAGTACAGGAAGAAAGATCTCTTTCTCTTCCCCTGTCTATTTTCCTGAATTATTCAACTTAAGCCAAAATTAAAACATGAAAAAATTTAATTAAAATCAAAAGTAAAAGAGAAATTTAAGAAATGTCTAGTAATTGATTGAATATTTAGGATTCACCATTTACATTGGTACTTTAATCAGAATTATCGCAATGAGAAGTGAGAACAAAATTTTACTTACTATTTAATTTATTTTTTGATTCCAATTAAACAGATATGGACTGATTGGGAAACAGCAAAAAGTCTAAATATGATCTTTTTTAAGAAGTTAATTAAAATACGTTGGAACCGTCCTATATTGCTCAAGTAGTGAACATGTATACAGTGAAATATCAGTATCTCGAAGTTGAGGGGACCTGGACATGACTTCGAGATATCCGGGGGTTCGAGATATCCGAAGTTATCTTCAAAAGTCGAATCTATAATTTTCCAGGGTTTTTTTAAATATATATCTTCATGCATAACACTAACTAAACATGTAGTCTTTATCTAAAAGACTCAAGCATATTCACAATGAACATGATGAATATTGAGAAAAACAATGTTGTTGTTTTCTTTATCGTGTATATTGTAAAACAATTTAATATACATGCCTTATTGCATATGTACAGCGATTTTACATTTTGCAGGCTATGCGTACGTGGTCAAACAGGATGTATCATTAGCGTTGTAGTTTAAGAACCTTCTCCATAAGAAAAGAAAAAGATGAATATCAATTTTAAAAATACACTATTGATGAAATTTAGTGCAAAATATTATTTAGAGCACTAAAAAATTAATCAGAATTTAAACTGTTTACTTGAATATCATTAATAGCTTACATGTATTACATTACGAAGTACTACTAAGGAACATATAGTTTACGAAACTAACAATGCAAATGGCGGTCAAGGTTATCTGTATGCAGATAAACATGAATGTAATCAATCACTACACTGTGCATTATGCAATGCAACTTGACTGTTTTATTAAAGTTTATCGTGAAAAATATTTGCGTTTTATGAATTTAGGATTTTTAATCATACAGAGCATATAATTAATTGCAATATCGGTAATACTGTCTGTATTTAATTTCTGAACTGCAGCGAAGTCAGGTTAGTTTTATGGGTCGTAGACTATGTACACCAAACACCCAAGTTGTGATACCAATTACCCTGCCACAGATACCCAACATGAGCTAATAATTAAGATTCCCCCAATTTGAAGTTGCTAATTAATAGCCACTGGCGAGAATGTGTGAAGTCATGACGCCAGGTGTGTTCAGTAGACCGAAAAATTCGCTGCACTTCGAGATAAGCCAGGTAAAAAAGGGCTTGGGACTTTGAATATACTTCGACATAAGCGGGGTATTCGAGATTACCGTGTTCGAGATATCAGGTGTTTTTTAAATCATAAATATAGAGAAAACGGCCGGGACCGGCTATAGACTTCGACATAAGCGGGGTATTCTAGATACCCCATGTTCGAGATACTGATATTTACCTGTATATCAAACCGTAAACCTTTCTTTTCCTGCTTTTCGTTTCCTGTGGAATTCTTTACTTTCAGGAGAAATTTATGAATTTTACCACCAAAATCAAATGTTTAGTAATGTCCACAAACTTTAACTAAAATGCTCCTGACTTAAATTTATCAAAATGACATGACTACTTAGTATCTTCATACAGAGATTTTTGAATCTATAGCAATGAACCTGTATTGTGTTTGAAAACTACTCACTGTAGACCGTCACCTGACAGGTAGATATTACCCCGAGGGAATAATTATCACATCTGGGCCTATACAAAATGGCAACAGTTAGGGTCAAGCTATCGTTATCTTGATTGAATAATAAGAAACATATAAAGATTTTTAATTAAATAGACAGAGACACAAAGGGCTTAATTTCTCGTGTGAAGCATGTAATAAGTATGTTGTTAAACTTTTCCCTCGTCATTCGATTTGATCCCTCGCTTCGCTCGGCACCAGTTCTCATGGTACTCGGGAAAAGTTTACCAACTTTTACTATATACTTGGTAGTTGAACTTATTCTCCTGTGAGTACTTACAGTACTTTGATTGATGATAACATCGGGCTCAAAAATATTGTTGGAAGTCACATGATATGGAGATGTCGGCTCTCAGGGTTGCATGGTTTGGAGGGTTGATTTCAATAGGTGCATGTGTAATTACGACAAGTTTAAATGGAGTTTGGATTGTGTCAAATGAACAAAGTAAATATTGCTGCTATTGCATTTGCAGTGCAAGTGCATTATTTTATAAAGATAAATACACTGTTGTGGTCCCAGTCTGGTATTGTTTATATTTTGAACAATTTGATCAGCTCTAGATAACAGCTATCCATGTGCTGTACCGTTTTTAAGTTTAATAAATTTTTGCATATCTAGCTGACATCATCTTAAATTTCAAAAAGGAGTTGTTGCAAATTACTGTACAGACATGGTAAACATGCGTGCACTCAGCATGCTAAAGAGTAAAGTGCATTAATAAGATAAGGGGAACTACTTTAATAATATAAATCGCCTGAACAGATGCTGTAGACTTATTCAGTCAAAATAGTGTGTGATGACTAACCATAAGGCCATCTGACATTCTATTCTTTTTTGAATTGCTACCTATTTGCATATAGTATGTACTAATTTTTCTGTAATTATGTTTCAACCCATATTATGATAATAACAAGGGATGTCAGGAACTTAATCCAAAGATTCCTATCACATCTTGTTGACAGGCACAAAATCTTAGGCCTAGAACAAACTTGATGCTTTGTGTCTAGTATAATTTGATTTGTACCCGTCAACTCAACATAATAGGGCTCTTTAGATTAAGTTGATGATGATATAGATGTATATTGTGTACTGTAAATTTTATCAGAGAACATCAACATTACTGGGCAGGTCCCCGGCAGCATGTATACCGCACTGATAAATAACAATGTAATCCAGGATCCATATTACCGTGACAACGACCTGAAGTATCGCTGGATCGGGCGAGATGATTGGACGTACAGCAGGGTGTTTAATGGTAGGACAGTATGCAATCATGTCATGTGTAAAACTGGCAATATCTTAATTCAGACAGAATTTCTATTGGAATCCATAGAAAAATGTATCAAAATGAGTAGGTAATGGTATTTTATATACATGCATCCACATTGTGATATTAATGCAATGCAAACCTTGACCTTGACAAACATGTAAATATAAACATGATAAGAAAACTGGTTGCCAAAAATAGGTCAAAAATGAAAGCATGTTCATGTTATATGGCATGTCATAAAAGACAGATAATAATTCTAAACATGACAGCAGATTCTCTGTAATATTTGTGTGTGTGAAATGTATTTAACCAGAGGAAGAAATTTCTGTTACAGTGAGCTCAGAAATGATGAAGATGACCAATGTTAAGTTGGTCAGTAAGGGGCTGGACACGTTTGCCACGGTCATGATCAATGGTCATCTGGTGGGGGAGACAGACAACATGTTCCTCCAGTACGTGATGGACATCAAACCATACATCAAAGTAGGCAGCTTCAAATTCAACAGTAAAATTATATTTATATACATATACAATGTGAATTGTCTAGTCTGACTTTTATGCAGTCTGTTTCAGTGTGAACTCTGGCCCATTTTACTGTTTTTCTCCTTTTTTTTTTTTTACACTAGAATCTGATAATATGCTGTCTATTCTGACAAAATATTTGTCTCCCCTTTCATGTCAGATTAAACAGGTTTCACGGTTTACGTTTGGTTAAAAACAGCGCTAAAATATTTTACTGAAAGTTGCATTTTCAATAAAAAGGGAAATAAAGAATAAGATTTCCAACTTTAGAATTTTAATATCTGGAATAATTTTTTTTTCTTTCAGGAGGGTGAAAACTCGATCCGAGTGTTATTTACCTCAGCGGTGAATCAGGCGGAGAGTCTGGCCTCCAACCACAGCTACCTGATCCCCCCCGCTTGTCCCGTCCCCCAGTATAAGGGGGAGTGTCACGTTAACATGATCCGGAAGGAACAGTGCTCCTTCAGCTGGGACTGGGGACCTTCATTTCCCACCCAGGGAATCTGGTAGGCAGGACACTCTTTATACTGAAGATTCGTAGGCAGGGCCGTCTTATTTAAAATTATAAAAGGAGTTGGTTTATTATTGCAATGAATATTTCATCTAGTAACAAAATGAGTAGTTTTTCAAAGTTTGGTTAAAAAATTAGTTTATTAATTTTTTGTTTTATTTTTTCTTTGTTATTGATTCTTAGGCGAGATATTTACATTGAGTCTTTCAACACATCAACCATTCGTTATTTCACTGCAGAGACTCGTAAAGGTATCAGTGAAAAATGCCACAACTGCACAATTCATTGCTTTAGCATCAAAATCATGAAATTTATATATCATACTAGGGTTGATCCAAAAGTTCAAAGAATTTCTTCATATTTTATTTATTCATAAGTGAAATTGGTTGAAAATTACAAATGAGAATATACTTTATAGACACTTGTTGAATATTTTAAATAAAAAACATTTTAAAATATTTATGATAGTAAGTCAATGGCAGTTGCCATAGAAACGGTTGTTTGGAAATTCAGGGGAGACATTAACTCGTTTATTATCATTTTAATTCTTAAGACATGAATTGATAATAAAACTGCCACATGTGGTATATAAAACGAAAATTATGTCATTTTTATGATTGCTTGATCTTTTATAAACCTTTTTGTGAGAATTGTACTGATTTTACTGGATATTTAGTTTATTAATTAGGGATGTCAAATCGGTAAATTTTTTATACTCGGTTACTCGGACGTTTTTCCGATCGAGTACCCGGGTACTCGGTAAGTGTGAATAAATATGAACAAGTTAATTTATAACTATAAAACATTGTAAACTATTGTAGAAATAAAGCACATGCTCTGATAGGAGATATTTCTGTTGTATCAATGATGAGCACTTCGTGCCCGACGAAATCTGATACATTTTTGTAAGTTCAATTTATTTATCAGAAAAACACAAGAAATAAAATCATAAGTGGTTTGACAGTGTCTTTGTTTAAAAAAAAAATTTCTGCTCCGTAATTGTACTGTAACCATTAGTTGCAATCTAATTAAAATTAAATGTTAGATCTGCTCGCATACTCGCTACACTAACATCTAACAACATCCCATAGAGGGTCACGTCAGAGTTCAAACTCTATCAACCAATCAAATTGTCGCCTGCAAAAGCATCCTTCAAGCAAATAAGTCTAGAGTTGTTCCGAATTTGACCTCTGACGTGACCCTCTATGGGATGTTGTTAGATGTTAGTGTAGCGAGTATGCGAGTTGATCTAACATCTACTTTTAATTTGTTAGTGTAGCGAGTATGCGAGTGGATCTAACATCTACTTTTAATTAGATTGCCTTTAGTTGCATTTGACGTCCAGGTATCAGTGTTCAGAGCTATGTATGTACAGTTTCAATTTAAAATTAATCAAGTTCTGATTTACGATTCTCGTACACTTTTTTGCTCCTAGATTTTATAGAATTATGGGGCGGTATTTTGTAGTTTGGTGCAAGGATGGACATCAGTTTTTTAAAGCCTTTGCATCAGCCATTTGTATTGGCATGTAATTACGTAATTAAACACAACAATATCAACAATCGCACGTGTAATATCATCTGTCTCTTTTCCCAAGAGTTAACGGCTTCTCGGAGAATTGACAAATTTATCTGATTTATTTAAACATAATTGACCTTAAACGATGTTCAGTGAAAACAAATAATTAAAGCAAACCAAGAATAAGGGTAGAAGACAACCGAAGGTGTGAAGGCCAGGTAGCAGGTGCTTGGTCACAGTAATTACTGTATAAACACTGCCACAGGCGATAACGGTCATTCAGAGGCGTAGGAAACCCTAATTACTGTACGTACAAATTACAATGAGCATTTAATGTTTTAAAACAGATTGTTTAATGTATCAATAAATAAACTTTAAAAAATTAAAAGATATATATCTGAGTAACCAAGGACCGATTTTAGTATTCGATACTCGGACGTTCGATCGAGTACCCGGTTAAACACCCAATTTTACGTTGACGCCACTAAAATCTACCCGATTCGAGATCAATAATTTACCGCCTGTCAATCATTAGGAAAACAATAGCTTCTGATTTGATTGACAGGCCAGCTACCTGTGCTTCCTGAAAATCTGAATTTGCATGTTTTGATAACAATTACCTGGTCACGCGTCAAACGCTTTCATGTACCAGCCTTATGTACACGCGGGCTAACAAATCTAAATCGCGGGGTTGGTGATTTTATTTTTTTAAAAAAAAATGAATACATAATTGAGAGTAGATGATTAAAACATGACTTCACAAAATACTTGTTTTCAATCTTCACGGCAGCATGGTACTTGTAAGCGATATGTTGTCCTGTAGACCGTCCAGAGAAATTAATGCCGATTAAATTGAAACAAAATAGAATTAATTAAAAAAGAAACGATATTTAGCACAAATGGTATGGATGACAAAATATTCTATTTTCACATGTTTTATCTTTGTATAATTATATAGATACAATCTACACCATGTTGTAAAGAAATGTTACAATTATTGCGAGAATACGCGAGTTTCGAGATTGTAAGTTATTGTTTGAATTTTCTCTGATGTCTGTCTCTATTCGTAGTGGAAAGGTAAAGATAACGAACAATGCTCGATCAACATTTTGACATCTTGGGTATTGGGGGTCTCCAGGTAAATAACATCACTGTTACCTAGACCACTCCCCCTCCTCAGGTAACCGTACGATAAAAAAATTGGGTCTTTAACCGGGTACTCGTTGACATCCCTATTATTAATTGATGACTTATTGGTAATTGAAGAGTGATGAAATTTTCCAATATTGTTGCATTATGAATCTATATTATGAATATGCCTGTTGTTTGCTTTCATCAAATCACGATAAAATTTTATAAAGAAATTCCACAAACTTTTGGATCAACCCTCGTATATGAAAGTTTTTTATTTCCATTTTGTATAGTTTGGTTAAAATTGTCATTTTGGCAATATGGCAAAGTTGTCATCCTTAAATACAGTAAAACTGAAATGATAAATAGACTTTGTTGAACTCTTGCAAACTTTGGTTGTGATCCTTTTCCATCAATTTTACTATAGATAGCTTTATTTTAAATCTTTATTGAATACTGTATATCAAAATTAAACTTGGTTAGATTTTTTTTTTGGTCTTGGAATTTTTTTTTCACTTGTATAAAATAGTCACCTTTTAAAATTGACTCCAGCTGTTGTATTTTTATTGTCATCAATGTATAGAAGCTGATGGATCATGGGCCATTGATGCGGAAGTTCACCTTGACGTCCCGTACGGCGAGTCAGTGCCAGGGTCTATTGAGGTTCAACTGGACGTCACAGGTGTTGGGATAAAACAGAACATAACCCTGACACACGAGAACAACAAACTAAAGCAGAGGATGACCATCAATAAGGTGGGCTCATATATTAAAATCATAAAATGTAAAATACAACTTATTAATAGTATTCAATTATACATTTCGATATACTTTATGTAGCCTTCTTTGCTCACTATTTTATGTCATTTATTTGTAAGTAGAACGCTGACATTCGGGAGTGGTGGCCTAATGGTTATGGAGACCAGAATTTGTACAAACTCTACGCTTTCTTCACCAGTGTTGATGGTCGCAGCATGTCGGCCAAAAAGATCACCATTGGATTTAAAACGGTCGAACTTGTGCAGGATTATGTGTCTGGGGATCCAAATCAAGGTTTTAAAATAAGATTAAAATGAAATCTCTCTCAAAATTATGACACTAAAATTATCCAAGTGTTAAAAAGTCATTTCTCATATTAAAAGAAGAGAATTTCAAGAAAAGCATACAAGTTTAATTGTGTGAAAAAGCCAGAGCGAAATGTTTTTATGTATTATTTTTTATCATTTATATGTTGTAGAAAAAGAATATAAATATTGTCTGGAAGACAAGGTATGCTTGCTTTTCGTATAATGGGTCTTGATTTTTCATCTATTTTAGGTAGATCCTTTTACTTCAAAATTAATGGCGTACCAGTCTTCCTCAAGGGAAGTAACTGGATTCCTGCTGACAGTTTCCAGGAGAGAATTACGAAAGACAGGCTTCAAAACCTTCTCCAGTCAGCAAGGGATGTCCACATGAACTCCATGAGAGTGTGGGGAGGAGGGGTAAGCTGGTGAAGTCTTTGAGGGACGTCCATATAAACTCCATGAGAGTGAAAGTGTGTGTGTTTGGGGGGGGAGGGGGGGGGGGAGTCTTAAGAAGTCAGCAAGTGACCTCCACATGAACTCTATGAGAGTGTGGGGGAGAGGGATAAGTCTTCTTCAGTCAGCAAGGGACGTCCACATGAACTCTGTGAGGTGTGGGGGAGAGGGGTAAGTCTTCTTCAGTCAGCAAGGGACGTCCACATGAACTCAATGAGGGTGTGGGGAGGAAGGGTAGTTTTACTTTAGTCAGCAAGGGACGTCCACATGAACTCAATGAATATTCTGTTTGGGGGGGGGGGGGGGGGTGGTGGAGGGAGACTACTTCAGACTTCAGTCAGTGAGGGACATCCACCATCCACATGAACATCATGAGATTGGGAGGGGGGGATAAGTCTCCTACAGTTGGCTGGGGAACACAGAACACACATGTATGTAGTGGTAAGGTGCCTGCGATGACTTTCTACATCCATTGGGGCAGAGGAAGAATAAGTAGGTTACCTATTGTCTGTTTCCATCAGTTTGTCTGCTGTGAGATACCAGATGAATTTAATAAAAAGTGTCTTAAACATATTTTGAATTTATTTATTTGGGAGTGCCTAACACTGTTATTGTTACAGGTTTATGAGTCGGACGAGTTTTATGATCTGGCAGATGAGCTTGGAATTCTGATTTGGCAGGACTTGATGTTTGGTTGTGCCATGTATCCAACAAACCCACAGTTTCTGTCTTCTGTCAAGGAGGAAATCACACAACAGGTAAAGGGAGACAATAAATAACATCCAAGGGAAATAATAACACAAACAAGGGGAGATAATTGTATAGCAAAGGGAGGTAATAACATAGCAAAGGGGGATAATAACACAACAATTAAAGGGAGACAGGAAATTATAAAGGTAGATAATTACACAACAAAGGGAGATAATTAGCATCTATGATACAGAACCTGTTGAGATCTCTAAATGATTTCTAACATGATCATTAAAAAAAAAGCACCTCCCACTTTAAGCTGTGCAGCAGGTAAGATTTTGTCGAATTAATTTTGAACGTGGTGTAGACGTAATTGACTTGAAATCAGGTGGATGGTTTAATCTTCTTGTAGATGGAGACCTAATATAATTGAAGGGTCTTAAAATCTCAGTTTAACTAGAAACAAAATAAATATAGGTGATACAGACAGCTCTCTGATGGACTTAATGGATGCTGCAACTGTTATCCCACTAGCTTTAAATTTATCCAACACTGGATGCTTTCCATAATTTCGATTTTTCCCTCTCGTTCGGATTGAAATAAGATTCTGTCAGAATAAGTTTTAAAAGTGATTGAGCATTTGACATTTTACATTCCTGGTGAAATTTTTCTCCAAATATATAGTAGGAAAGAATCAGCATTTACTATTTGTACATGCATTTGATCAAATCAGATTTATTTGTAGAATGGGCTGTTTTTAAGATACAGAATAGTTGCATAATACAATACAGTAAATAGGCTAATACAGAACAGAAAATAGCTCTGCCCATTGCTAATATAGAACAGCAAATTCCAAAGAAAATCACTGCTATCATGTCACAATTAAGTCGGTCAACTGTTTTTTACCATCACTCAAGAGTACTCACTTTGTGACCTTGGTCATCATTGTCCAGTTTAAAGGTAACCTTTAATGCTATTGGATGATAGACAGGTAGAAATATATTCAGTTGTCAAACGAGAAATTAAGAGATGATCACACACGACTTGTCAAAATAATACCGGTAATACATGTGTATTGAAGGAAGATTTTACAAGACAATTCTTTTTTGTGACATTTTCATTAAAGAATCACCATTGGTAATCCTTTTTCAATTGGAGATATTAACAACTGAGTTTAATTAGCATGCCCTGATTAATAACTCACATTAGTGAACTTGTGACTTTTTAACATTCATGTCAATAAATACTAAGTATAAATAGGGAAAAAAATAAGAACAGTAAAGATTTATGTATTGCAGTAAAGTACATGTGTACTTAAGGGGAAATGGAAAAAAACAATTACAGTAAAACTCGTTTAGTACAAACATGGATATAGCAAATTCACGGATATAGCGAAGTTTTTCTGGTTCCCCGGCAAAATTCTTAACAAATCTTTGTTACAGTAAAATTTTATGGTTATAACGAACTCGGATATAACTAATTTACGGATATAGCGAACTGATTTTGAGTTCTGTTGAGATTAAATATAATGAAATTTACATCTTTTATAACGAACTTTCAAAGATCTCAAAATTTGATAAATTGAACTAAATTTATTTTCTTTTAGCATTTGTATATAAGATTCAATTCATAATAACACTTTAGTTATCAAACGTATGTTTTGTAATATTTGCTTCCCTAACATATTTGGTAGTAATACTTGAAGAATAACATGCATATAACGAATTCGCTATATATGGTTATACGAATTCATTATACGGATATAACGAATTCCGCATATTGCGAATTAAGTTCACAGGTCCCAAGGACTTCGTTATAACCGAGTTTTACTGTATTCCCAAACTGAATTAAACTGTGGAGTTTTCATTGCACAGTTTTCCTTATAGTTTAGTAACAAACAGTGCGATTACACTTTTAAGTAAATATTTTTTGTTATTTTATTAACAAATTTTACATATTCAGAAATAACAAATAAAAAAAATGATTTTATGATATTCAGAAAAGGGATGCTGATGATAAAAAAAGTAGGCCCTCTAAAATATTTATTTGTGTTATGTTGTTCAGTGTTTCACTATCTGAACATGTAATCTCATTCTATTTCAGGTCAGGAGACTAAAGTCCCATGCTTCACTTCTGCTGTGGAGTGGAAATAACGAAAATGAGAAAGCTCTACGACAAAGCTGGTAATTAACAAAGTTAAGATATCAGTTTTTATTTAGCCATGGGTGAAAAAACATGATGTGACAATGCATTGTTTGTACATGATAAAAAGCAATTAGCATGACATCACCATGCATTGCAGCACATAGTAAATCTTATCAAAGTTGAAACACAGTGATGGATTTATTTTTACAAAGAATTTATTTGGGAAATGCATAAATATGTTATCCAGGTCCAATCAAGAGTTTATAGGGATTTACTCCGGGTTGTATTCCAGGGTGTATGGAATAAAATCCTGGGTGAATCATTGTACACCCTCGATTGAACCTAAATAACTAACACATGTTCCCAAAGAATTTGTAAAACAGATAATTATGTCAGGGGCAACAATAAAGCATTAGAAAAAGCCAGAAGAAGAAGCAGCAGCATACCTTTCAGTTTACAGTGTAACAAGTTATACAGTGTAAAATTCTTGTTTTGTACAGGTTCTTTAAGCAGATGTAAACTTTGGTCCTTTATTTTGTAGTACAACACAGATGTAAACTTTACGCTTTATTTTGTAGGTATAACACAGATGTAAACTTTACTCTGTATTTTGTAGGTATAACACAGATGTAAACTTTACACTGTATTTTGTAGGTATAACACAGATGTAAAGTTTACTCTGTATTTTGTAGGTATAACACAGATGTAAACATTACTCTGTATTTTGTAGGTATAACACAGATGTAAACATTACTCTGTATTTTGTAGGTATAACACCGATGTAAAGTTTGGACCTTTATATTGTAGGTATAACACAGATGTAAACTTTGGTCCTTTATATTGTAGGTATAACACAGATGTAAACTTTGGACCTTTATTTTGTAGGTATAACACAGATGTAAACTTTGGACCTTTATTTTTTAGGTATAGCACAGATGTAAACTTTGGTCCTTTATATTGTAGGTATAACACAGATGTAAACTTTACTCTGTATTTTGTAGGTACTGTAGATCACTTAATTTTCGCAACACCTTATTTTCGCGAGATAGCCATTGACTCTTTATTAGCGAGACAAAATTTTCACGAATTGTCGTCATTTCTCTATGTAACCTTAAGGAATTCTTTTATACGTGAGAATGAAATTCTTGCGAGCATACCGTCTCACGTAATTGCGCAAAAATAAAGTTCTCGCGAATAAAAAGTGATTTACAGTATAACACCGTTGTAAACTTTGGACCTTTATTTTGTAGGTATAACACAGATGTAAACTTTGGTCCTTTATTTTGTAGGAATAACACAGATGTAAACTTTGGTCCTTTATTTTGTAGGTATAACACAGATGTAAACTTTACGCTGTATTTTGTAGGTATAACACAGATGTAAACTTTGGTCCTTTATTTTGTAGGAATAACACAGATGTAAACTTTGGTCCTTTATTTTGTAGGTACAACACCGTTGTAAACTTTGGTCCTTTATTTTGTAGGTACAACACCGTTGTAAACTTTGGTCCTTTATTTTGTAGGTACAACACCGTTGTAAACCTTGGTCCTTTATATTGTAGATATAACACAGATGTAAACTTTACACTTTATTTTGTAGGTATAACACAGATGTAAACTTTACTCTGTATTTTGTAGGTGTAACACAGATGTAAACTTTACGCTGTATTTTGTAGGTATAACACAGATGTAAACTTTGGTCCTTTATTTTGTAGGTATAACACAGATGTAAACTTTACGCTGTATTTTGTAGGTATAACACAGATGTAAACTTTGGTCCTTTATTTTGTAGGTATAACACAGATGTAAACTTTACGCTGTATTTTGTAGGTGTAACACAGATGTAAACTTTGGTCCTTTATTTTGTAGGTATAACACAGATGTAAACTTTTGACCTTTATTTTGTAGGAATAACACAGATGTAAACTTTGGTCCTTTATTTTGTAGGTACAACACCGTTGTAAACTTTGGTCCTTTATTTCGTAGGTACAACACCGTTGTAAACTTTGGTCCTTTATTTCGTAGGTACAACACCGTTGTAAACTTTGGTCCTTTATTTTGTAGGTAAAACACCGTTGTAAACTTTGGTCCTTTATTTTGTAGGTACAACACCGTTGTAAACTTTGGTCCTTTATTTTGTAAATACAACACCGTTGTAAACCTTGGTCCTTTATATTGTAGATATAACACAGATGTAAACTTTACACTTTATTTTGTAGGTATAACACCGTTGTATACTTTGGTCCTTTATTTTGTAGGTATAACACAGATGTCAACTTTAGACTGTATTTTGTAGGTATAACACAGATGTAAACTTTACGCTGTATTTTGTAGGTGTAACACAGATGTAAACTTTGGTCCTTTATTTTGTAGGTATAACACAGATGTCAACTTTACGGTGTATTACAATGACTACGTGACCCTGTACCATGACACGATACAGCCCGTCGTCCAGACTGAGGACACGACTCACCCCTTCATCATGTCCAGCCCCAGTAACGGGGTACAGAGTCTGCAGGAGGGATTCGTTGCTAAGCAACCATGGAGTGAACTCTACGGAGACAGTACGTTATATGATACATGTATTTTGAAAAATCGGTATTGGTTTCAAAATTGCATATGGTTTTTAGCCGGGCTTATTGCTCAAAGAGCAATTGCCGGCTTATGTGATCCTGTTCAAGGCAGGATGTTGACCCCATAGTCGCCATTTTAAAGTTACGTGCAAAAATATAGTTCTTACTCTCAACCGCTTTTGAGATCATAAAAACGCTAAATAAAGCAACAAAATAAAACGAAGTTTTATCTATATAAAATAAACATTAGTAGTAATGACTTTGAAAACTTCATAAGTCAAAGAACATAGTTCATTAGCGTAAGGATTTTTGATAATCAGTGTTACCGTAGTTCTCTACACATACGAGGTAAAGCAGGAGAGGGAACCAGACTGGCCTGTTTGTTTACATTCAGCTGCGGTACCAGATTAATTCTGATTCTGACAAAATTGGACCGTGGTATTAGGATTGAAAAACTCACTGTCAGTGTCTTATCATTTATATTGATAGTTTTAAAATAATTTTTTCATCAGAATATAAACGTGATTCATGTAACAGATCCATTCTACTCTGTAAATGAGCCCGGCTCTCTGTACTTCTGAGTACTTTGATTTTTTTCCTGTGCTTTCACCTTCTTCACATGTGCAGTACCTGTTACAAGATCTTGTTGAAAGCCTATTATACCATGATATTTGTCCTCTTTATCTGTAACTTGAAATTTGGTAACTTTACAATATGCCATAAAATACTTCACTTCAAACAGTAGGAAGCAAAATGTGGAGGATCACAAATTTTTGAATTTGCTTTTGAAAACATTATCCTAATCCCTGATAATGAAGCTGAATTTTTGCTACATCATGAAAAGCAAGCAAAAACTAGTGCTAATTGTAACGGAAACCGTTACAGATGTTCCCCAAACGCTCCCCAACTCCCTTCTCGTGCCATATTCCCTGTAAGTTTCATTAAAGAGGGCAAAATCTATGCATTTAAGACATAAACAACGTTTTCCCAAAAGTATACCAAGTATTTCAAATTTAAGCAATGCAGGCGTGCACATGTGATTGCATGAGCGTAATGACGATATCATCTTGTCTACACTATTTTACTCATATGCACGTGCACGCACGTGCATGATGACCATACCTTCTTGTAGGAGTTCATTATGTCTGTCTATGTTCTTAATCCCATCCTGTTTGGTTGAAAAACAAGGGAGTTATAGCCATTTAAAGTTTAAGCCAATCAGATTGCAGCGCACGTGGATGCGCGTGTTTTCATGACAATTATTATATATCATATTGTAGAACATCTTAAAGTATGCCTATGTTTTAAATTTCAAAGCATTTTGTAAAAAAAACAGAAAAGATATTGAGATTTTTGTTTCAGCCAATCAGAGCAAAGCGCACCTGCACGCACGTGCATGCATGTGAATGGTGACCATACCATCTTGTAGGAGTCCTTTATGTCTATCTATGTTGTATTTCCCATGCTGTTTGGTTGGAAACCAAGGGAGATATACTCATTTAAAGTTTCAACCAATCAGATTGCAGCGCACGTGCATGCGCGTGATTTCATGAAAAATTTTATAAATCATATTGTAGTACATCCTAATACATGTCTATGTTATAAATTTCAAAGCATTTCATCATAAAACAAAAAAGATATTAAGATTTCTGTTTCAGCCAATCAGAGCAAAGCGCACGTGCATGCGCGTGAGTTCATGCAAATTTGACCATGTCATCTTATCTACACAACTTATATATCTTTATATAATGAGTTTCAAAACATTTTATCTAAAAATATTAAAGTTACAACCATATTAAATATATCGGTCAGTTTACTCATTGCACGCGCCCGCACGTGCATGCGAATGCGCGCAAAATGACCTTCGTTCGGCACATCTACACAACATGCCTACTAACCCTAAAAAGGTTTTAACTTAGTTTGGTGAACAGTTTCTGAGAACACTTCCGGACAAAAAAGTACCGGAGAAGAAATAAGAAGAAAAAAGAATAATAATAACTAGTGCTAATTGTAACGGGGACCGTTACAGATGTTCCCCAAACGCTCCCCACCTCCCTTTTGGTGCCATATTCCCTGTAATCTCTATTAAATAAGAAATACTTTATGGAATTTAGACTTAATGAAAGTCTTTGCACGCGACCATATTATCTTGTCTATACCATCTAAAATTTTAATATACTTAATATCAAAGCATTTAATCCATAAGTATTAAAAAATACACTCATTCGAATGTAATTTTAATTTTACTCATTTTGCGTGCACGCACGTGCAAGCACGTGCATAATGACTACACTTTCTTTTAGGAGTCCCCTATATTTATCTATGTTCTAAAGCCCATCCTGTTTCGTTGAAAAACAAAGGAGTTATAGCCATTTGAATTTTCAGCCAATCAGATTGCAGCACACATACATGCGCGTGATTTCATAAATTTTTATCTTTATCGTATTGAAGGGTATCTAAATGAATGACTATATTTTAAAATTCCAAACATTTCGTCAAAAAAACAAAGGAGATATAGTCATATAAAGTTTCAGCCAATCAGATTGCAGCAAACGTGCATGCGCGTGATTTCATGATTTTTTCCTATATCATATTTTAGGATATCCCAATGCATGACAATGTTTCAAATTTCAATGCATTTCGTCAAAAAACAAAGAAGATATAGCCATTTAAAGTTTCAGCCAATCAGATTGCAGCACGCGCGCATGCGCATGCTTTCATGGAAATTTTTATATATCATGCTGTAGATTTTTAAAATGTAGCACTATGTTCAAAATTTCAAAAGATTATGACAAGAAACAAGAAAGATATTGAGACTTTAGTTTCAGCCAATCAGAGCGAAGCGCACGTGCATGCGCGTGAGATTTTGCTATTTTGACCATGCTGTCTTGTCTATACTACTAATGTATCCTTATATTATGAGTTTCAAAAAAATTCTTCCAAAAAAAGAAAAGTTACAGTAATATCCATTATATTGGTCATTTCTCGTGTTGCACGTGCGCGCTCTTGCAAGCACGTGCGCGCAAAATGACCTTCGTTCGGCAAATCTACATAACATGTCTACTGACCCTAAAAACATTTTACCTTAGTCGGATGTATAGTTTACAAGATCACTCGAGGACAAAATTTTCCCAGGAATAATAATAATAATAATAATAATAATAAGAAACAGAGTAAAAACAATATGTTCCCCAACTTCGTTTGGGGAACATAATAACTAGAGCAAAGCTCGTTGCAAAGCAACGAGTAGGTCTTCCGTCCGGTTTTGACCGGACGGAAGAGAACAAAAGAAAGCAATGAGCTAAGTAGTCTCCAGTGACTTTATAATTTCAATTTTGCATCAAAACCTTCAAAATAAGCCATTTTTGCAACTTCCGGTTTGACCGGAAGTGACGACGACGCACGGAAAAATTACTTTGTATGCTTCCAGAGACATATGTAACCCAAAAACTTGTCAAGAACGGCAAAAAAATGTGTTTTTCGACTACTTCCGGTTTGACCGGATGTGACGACGCCAGACGAATTTTGACGACGCCAGTAGATTAAGCTTGTCATTTTGAACAACTTTGCTTCTTTGACGTATTACAAATTCTAAATACTTTTGTAGATATAAAGGAAAAACGTTCGGCCCCTCTCGGCCCCTGAATTAAGGGGCCAGCCCTTTTTTCGAGGTATCATTTGAAAGATCTCCGAATTCTATACTTTTTTTGTTCTACATGTATGAACAAAATATTTCTAGGTAAAAAGTTATCGTAGAAAAAGTGTTAAAATTTTTGAAATTCTTGATAGGACTATTTTTGGACCATAGCGAGCGTCGGCGCTTCGTACTTCCGGTGGTTGTGATATACGAAATTCACTTCTCCAAAGGTTGCTCTAGCATCACTGAAAATTTCATGCTTCTGCGTTGAGTGGTTTTTCAGAAAACTGCCGGACAAAGTGACCATCTGAAAATCACTAAAACGCGGAAAACTCAAAACCGGAAGTGACGTCATCAAAACCAAAAAAAATAGTTCTAGTTTTTTTCATGCTCTATCAGTCCTGAAAGTTTCATGAAAATCGAGCCAGCCGTTTTCGAGAACTCGCGTGCACAAAATCGGTAAGAAAAAAAACAATAATAATAATAATAATAATAAAAATAGTGGAAAAGAAACCTAAGAATAACAGTAAGGTCTTCCGCTGAAGACGGAAGACCTTAACTAGAGCAAAGCTCGTTGCAAAGCAACGAGGAGGTCTTCCTTCCGGTTTTGACCGGAAGTGACTTCAACACCAGAGAGCAATGTGATAAGTCGTCTACAGTGACTTTATAATTTCAATTTTGCATCAAAACCTTCAAAATAAGATATTTTTGGCTACGTCCGGTTTGACCGGAAGTGACGTCGACGGGCGGAAAATTAATTTTTATGCTCCTAGATACATATTTTATCCAAAATCGTGTCAAGAACGGCAAAAATACGCGTTTAAAAACTACTTCCGGTTTGGCCGGAAGTGACGACGGCGGACATATTTTGACGACGCCAAAAGATTAATCTTGACATTTTGAACAACTTTGCTTCTTTGACGTATTACAAATTCTCAATACTTTTTGAGATATAAAGGAAACTCGCTCGGCCCCTATAGGCCCCTCATTTTAGGGGCCAGCCCTTTTTTGGATATACCAGTTGAAAGAACTTGTAATTCTACACTCCTTTTGTTCTACATGTCTTAACAAAATATTTCTAGGTAAAAAGTTATCGTAGAAAAGTTGTTAAAAATTTTGAAATTCTTGATAGGTCTATTTTCGGGCCATAGCGAGCGTCGGCGCCTCGTACTTCCGGTAGTTGTGATATACAAAAGGCACTTCTCCAAAGGTTGCTCTAGCATCCCTGAAAATTTCACACTTCTATCTTCAATGGTTTTTGAGAACATTGCCGGACAAAGTGACCCTCTAAAAATGACAAAATCGCAGAAATCTCCAAACCGGAAGTGACGTCATCAAAACAAAAAATATATACCTAGATTTTTTGATCTTCTATCAATCCTGAAAGTTTCATGAAAATCGATTAAGCCGTTTTCGAGAACTCGCGTGCACAAAATATGTAAGAAAAAAAATAATAAAAACTGTGGAAAAGAAACCTAAGAATAACAGAAAGGTCTTCCGCTGAAGACGGAAGACCTTAATAATAATAATAATAATAATAAGAAACAGAGTAAAAACAATATGTTCCCCAACTTCGTTTGGGGAACATAATTAACAGTATTTTATGTAAAAAACATCTTTCCAGATTTACTGTACTTGTAAATCTAACCTTTCTTTTTATATTTCAGTCCACGATTACCGATACTTGGACCCGTTCTTTGACTCCAGTGTTTACCGAGTCCCGAGATTGGCCTCAGAGTATGGACTGCAGTCTCTCCCATCTTACGAGACGCTGGCAAAAGTTTACGCAGAGGATGACCTAGATTTCTGGTCAGACATGAGTGAACATCGGCAACACCATCCACTTGGTGAGGAAAGCTACATGTAAAATAGAAGACTACCAAATAATTTTTTATCCTTTTTAATATTTAAGCGTAATAGTAATTTTTCAGTTTTTTTAGTATCTAAAACATTTACTGTAAACCAACTTTTATTCTTGTGCGAGAAATATTTGTGAGTTTTGTGATCTACATTAACTTGAAAAAATAAATCGCTGCAAACCATTTATTTTTATTAGGCTTTAGTAGAGAATGTTTCCTTAGTCACAAAAATTTATGGTTGCAGATTGATTTCTAACTGATGAATCACAAATAAAGATGATGCAAATAATAGTTGTATTACAGTAATACTGTGAGTAAGGGCAACTAACATTGAATATTATAAGGTTATTGAACTTCTTGGTGAATATTGGCACAACTTGGCTGTTCAAATGCACGAGCTTAGCTATATAATAAAGGAGTTATTGAACTTATATTGGCGAATATTGGCACTCGTCAATAACACCTTTATTATATAGCTAAAACATTTCCACATAATTTGTAATAATTATTTCAACTTAAAAAAAGGCAAATTAATGATATTTTTAATATCGGTATTCAAATTAACGTCTGTCCTGTAAGCGTTCAATATCGCATCATTCCGACGACCCTACTGAGCAATATGATTTGCTTACTTATGTTTTAATGGGTCTAAATACGTACTAAATTTTTATTAAATAATTTCATTTTATGTGAAAAATAAACAAGATCTTTATTTCCCTTCTTTCTATTTATTCTGTATAGCATAAGCGCATTATTTACAAATGTTTCAAACGTATGAGCCCACCCATGTAAGTAAAGAATATTTTAAATTCATGGCTGGCTATTTAATGCATTCGAGCAAAGTGTCCTAGTTAGCTCAAAACATTCTAGCTATAAGACATGTGACGAAATTTTGTATTCACAAAATTACCTGAGGAAAGATATCACGTGGTGAATTATAATATTCAACGTGTCACAGTCCTTGGTTACAACAGATAGAGCGAGTGTAAGAAGTTATTTTTTTGTCTTTTAAAACATGAGCGCATGTTTGTCTTTTAATCTCCTTTTCACACAACATTACTAATGCAAATATACAACTACTGTTAAAAGGAGAATAATAGACAAACATGCGCTGACTATGTATAAAGTCAGCAAAAAAGTGGCCGTCCTCATTATCTTACGGAGATAGAAGAAATTGCGATGATCCCTGCCTTAGACAACAGATTCGTACATCGTAAATACATACTTCTTAATTATTGTAATTAAGTTCGAAAGTAATAGATTAGATGTTAATAATTCCTGCAAAATGCCTGTTTTGAATGTTTATTATGATGCAATTTTGCATATCCTTAAGTGCAGTCATCCTTTTACCTTATTTTCAACCTTTCTGATAAAGTTCACACAAACATAAAGGGCTTTTTTAAGTTCACCGTTTCCTAACATGTTGAATTGGTACCCCTTCTTTGTTGTCTGTTGCCAGGTAACGTACAGCTTATGACAGAGGTCATCCTATACCTGAACTTGCCTAACGCCCCCGACAGGAAACAGAGGTTCAAGGACACCATTTATGTCACCCAGGTAACTCAAGTTCATGGTAATTGATGTGTTGAATTCTGAATAAAATGATATCAACATGCACTTCAGGTTTCCATTTTATGAAGTAACCCTTGTCTGGCATTTCTCTAATCAGCTGACAAAGATTAAAACAAGTGCTGACAGCAAAAAGAAATAATTTAATGTTTTTAAGTTTTAAGATTCTTCCATTAATCTTTACCCCGTAAGATATAGGTGACAGACTGGCATTCAGAACACTGTTTCAGGAGTTGTATTTATAAAGGGATGTCACTCTTACACATGAATTTAAAGGTGAATTAATTGAGAAAGGAATAAAATATACTGTACATGTATCCTTTATGTAGAGAATTTTAAATTTACCACACATTTTTTAATTAATTAAGAACACTTCCTTTGGAGTAAAATGATTTTTTTCATTTCATTTGTGCTGAAAATTTATTTGATAAACATTGTACTGGTTGTAGATCGATCAGGCAGTTGCCATTAAAACAGAGACCGAACATTACCGCCGCTGGCAGAACAGACTGGACAATACAGGGAGAGGCAACACTATGGGGGCCATGTACTGGCAGCTCAATGATATCTGGCAGGCCCCCACTTGGTCATCAATAGGTAAGAATGTCCATAATAAATGTACTGACAGCTTAATGATATCTGACAGCTTAATGATATCTGACAGCTTAATGATATCTGACAGCTCAATGATATCTGACAGGTTTATGATATCTGACAGCTTAATGATATCTGACAACTTAATGACATCTGACAGCTTAATGATATCAGGCAGCTGAATGATATCTGGCAGGCCCCCACCTGGTCCTCCATAGGTAAGTGTCTCTTATAACAAGACCTAATACATAACAACATGTGCCTCCTATAGGCAGGGATCAGTGGTGGTAATTTTATACCAGTGGTAAATACTGGCATTTCCCATCTTGATAAATATCACTGGTTTTTTCTAGGAAATACTGGAAATACAAAGATCTGTAGATTCCTTATTTTATGTGAGCAATTAAAATATCATAAAATACTAGGTAACTCTCAGCATACAAGATATGTCTGTTCTATCTTTATTTCTTCCAATTAATGTGCAAATTAATGCAGTGCAAAATAAGCAAGTTTTTATCTTTTTCTGTGAAACTATTTACTCCATCCTTACAGAATATGGAGGCAAATGGAAGATGCTCCATTACTATGCCCAACACTTCTTCTCCCCCATGCTTATCTCCCCTTATGAGGAGGATGGTGAAGCCAAAGTGTACATCTGTATGGACGAGATAAAGATCCACACCGAGAGACACGCCCACACACATCAGATACAGTTTATACCTACACGACACCACAGGGCCGGATTCCTGTTTATTCCTCAGAGTCAAGCCCACTCCCCCCACCCCGGGGCTCAGGTCTCAGGTACGCTGTACGTCTCCCTGTACTCCTGGGACAACCTGACCCCGCTACACACCTGGACTCAGCCCTTCCAGGTAAGGGGATTTAAAATGTAGACATGGCCATTCTAATTAAACCCCACGTAACTTGTTGCGGGAGGTATAATGTTTTGGACTGGTCCGTCAGAGTGTCAGTCATTCTGTCAGTCCTGTTTTTTTTTCTCAGTGCAACTCCTCATGAACCGCTGCACACAATTTCTTCAAACTTTGCAGATACATGTATTAAGGACACAATGTGAAGATGTGCATATTACCAGGAAATTCCGATTCCTTTATTTTTTCTGGAAATTTCTGCACTTTTCAACTTAGATTTTTGGCCATAGCTTGAAAATAGAGATGAACAGTTTGTTAGCCCAACTTCTCTTAAACTGCTGCAGAGAATTTCCTCAAACTTTGCAGATATTTAGGACACAGTATGTAGATGTGCATATTACCAGGAAATTCCGATTCCTTTATTTTTTCCGGGAATTTCAACACTTCAACTTTTGGGAGAGCGTGGGGTAAGTGAGCTTGCTCACTTTTTCTTTCATTAAAACTTGTAACCTGTAAAATAGAGACACACCATTCTAGGTAATGTGACTTGTAACCTGTAAGATATGTACACAAACCTTACAGGAAGAAAGAAAAAGATTATTTATTTTTTAATCATACACTCTCATATTTGACATGTGTAATTTCTTACCTTTATTTTCAATCACACTATATAATTCAACAACCTGTCTAGATGTATTTTGATTCAAAGTTTGTCTACCAGTGCATGTCATATTGCACAGGTTTGACTGCAGTATAAAATAGCTGTCTCTAATCCATACTCCTCAACTTATTTCAGATGAATTTGACGTCCCAGCTGGTGTTTTCTGCCAACATTAACACCATGTTACAGCAGGCCAGCTGTATCAGAAGACAGAACTGCTTCCTGTACTATCACCTAGGCAACCCACAAAATGGCCCCACGGCCTGGCAAACTCTCTCAATCTTCCAGAGTGCAATAGGGTTACAGAAAGCCAAAATACAGGTTTGTGTATATCAAGTTACAAACCTGATACACAATACACATCCAAAATCAAGGATCATCTTCTCTAGAAGAACGCTACGGGTAGATCACAGGGGCATCTTATCTGCTCTGTTCTCTACTACACATATAAAAATACACATAATCTAAATTATGTGTATTCGAGAACAGAGTGGATAAAATGCCCCTATGGATAGATGGGAATTCTGGAGTGCGAGAATAATTAAATGCAATTAGAATTTTACACATTCAACAAATTTTTGATTATCAATACCTTTTAAACTCAGTACATGTATACTGGTTTGTTGTTATTGTGATCAGTCTCAATCAATATAGGGCTATTTTAATTGTACCACATACATGTATTTAAATACGGTTCCCTTTAATATAAAAATATCAAATGAGCAATATTAACATTCTGTACTAGGAGAGATAACTCATACTAGTTTGACATCATCACTACCATTGTTTTTTTCCTTATAAGGTAACAAACATTGTCACAGTGAAGAAGGACCAAGTTTACAACATCACCGTCAGCACGTCGGCCATTGCTCCGTTTGTCTGGCTGGACACGCCGGGAGTTCAAGGTCGTTTCTCTGACAACGGCTTCCTCATGGTGCACTCAGTTAGATACCTGCAGTACTTCGCCTGGGAGTTAGTGGACTTAAAGACGTTAGACTTGGCAATTACGGTGAAATCTCTGATGGACATTTACTACTAACTGAAAATAAGTGGGCATTTCTTGAAAGGACCTGGGCAAAGTGCAATATGTGTTTTTTACTTAATCAATATGATACTTATAGGCAATCTTTAAATAATTGTTTGCCCTCCTCCAACCGACTGGCAGCTGTCTTTAAAAGAAATGTTTACAGATGTCCTTTCCCAACCAGCTGGCTTAAATGACCCTAACTCACAATTTTTTTTCACCTGCAGAAAATATTTTTGCTTACACTTTTTTTTTGGAATTTACTCATTCCATCAACAAATACAATGTATTACAATATTTTATATATTTTCAAAATAAGCGTAGATGTAGAGATTTTCTGTGTAAAAAAAATTTCCAAGATTTTCCTACATATATTTATCAACCAGTCGGTGAAGGACAAACATTATTTGAAAAATTGTCCTATAGTATACCCGGTACTAATGTCTTGTTATACACACTGATTTCAAATTGTAGCACAAAAATTTATTTTTATCATCTTTATATGTTTTGAACTTGTTATTCATTAAACATTCATAAAAAGAAAACAATGTTTAAATATAAGATTCCTGAATTGGTTATCTCCTGATGGTTTGATGGATTTGAACCCTGGATTTGATGTATAATCAACTGTTAGTGGAAAAAAACCAATGGTCACCTAAAGCCTAGGTTTGATTGCAGTATGACTTCAGAGTTTTTTAAAACCAACCCTATTTTAAATTCCCTATTAGTATGGATAGTAGGAATGAATATACATACAATGAACATTCACAAAACATGTAAAAAGAAATAATGTTTAAATAACTAGGATTTGAACCCTGGATTCCTGAATTACCAGTCAGGTGCTCTAATGGCTACCCAGGCTGATGGTTTGACGGATTTGAACCCTGGATTCCTGAATTACCAGTCAGGTGCTCTAATGGCTACCCAGGCTGATGGTTTCGTCCCTAATTGCTACACATACAAGTTAACAACAATTTAAGTTTATCCACACAACAGCTACATCCATAAGGGGAACAAAAAAGTCAATTTTTCTCCACATTTTATAAAAAATTCTAAAAATGAAGTTTATTTTATCAATTCCTAACATGTAGTTGCTGTAGAATTTTATAGAAAAATGCATTGGATCAATGGTTGTCTCCCTTCGAATAAGATCAAACATGGCATAAATTTCAAATACATGTATTTAATATTTCCAAAACCAAAAATTCTGACATACAATACAATGACAAAGTTTAACAGTTAAAAACCATATTGCTTCCAACAAAAGTCCAAGTCAAAATGAGACAAAATTTGTGTTGGTTTTCTATCAGCTTGCATAGGCTTTTGGTATATGTAGGATTGATTCTGCTTCTGCAAAAAAAAAAAGGTAAGATTTGTTCTATAAAAATACAAAACTCTGACATAAATTAATCAGTCAATTTTTCTTACACAAACAAAAATGTTTAAGAAAACAAACATGATATATATAGGATGTAAGTCCCTTATACCTGTATCAGTGTAAAATTTTGTCCAAACATTAAATAATTTAATTTGATTGAATAGAAATCTCAGCTCCTGATAAAAATAGATGAAAAGTTACATGCCACAGTTACCTGACTGTTGTAAAACGTTGGCCAAAATAATTCCAAAAAATGACCGAGGTCTGCTCTCTGTGGTTGATTCATATTTCCTGAAACAAAATAATCAAAACTGTCAAAACAATCTAACAATTTAAATTATTTTTTACATCAAGTTCTTTCAAGCAAAGTTTTAATAAATACAAGTACTAGTTATTACATCTTATTTGCTGCTGGTATAAATATTGAAGTCAGAATCTTTTACTAATCTTAAAATTCATAACCAGGAACTGAGACATACATGTAGTCCTCAATTTAAATAATTAATTCAATATACCTGTGTACAGTATAAGTGGAAATTTTACCAAGATTCATTTAGTGATTTTATTCTCCTTAAAACTTGGTAGTTAATTTTTAGCCAGAAGTAATTTTAGTGATTTTAAGATGCTCAAAAAGAATCTATTACAAATAAAAATTCTTCAGCGATTTTCAATTTAAGCAATCTCAACAGTGAGCACCCTTGTTAATAATGCCAAAATGAAATCCTCACTAAAAATTCTGTTTATACGGTTTTATTATACCCCCCGCTTGAAAAGCGGGAAGGTATATAGTAATCGTTAATTCCGTCCGTCTGTACGTCCGTCCGTCCGTATTGTAAATTTCCTTCCGTCTGTCCGTCTGTTACGCTTTGGGGTACCCATCTCTTATCCGCAACTCCTCTCATACCACTGATTGAAATTTGATGCAACTTTCACAGAATCTTTATTACATATTGCCATTGTGCACCTCCTATTTTACTTTTTGATACGACACATATTTTGAGTTTTCCAGCCACAGGAAAACATGGACTTTTTCACCAGTTTTAACCATATGGGAGGCGGGGGGTATCATTTAGTGAGCTCATCGCTCACAGTACCTCTAGTTTTAGCTTTAGTTTACATCAAGTCTTTTGAATATAGAGAAAGAGGGAGGAAGGGGAGAGATTTTTTGTTAAAGCCATATATGGCGTAACTGATCAAAAAAATATGTATTTGAAAAATACAAAATTAAGTAAAGAAATATAGTTAATACATTTAAATTAAAACTTTTCATACAATTCTGAACACGGAGAACACCTCGTTTCATCTAATAATACGATTTTTTTCTTCTCTCTATTGTGTTATTTAAATCTTTTGTATTTTCTTCATAGTAAAAAAAATTTCAGAACCCAAATTAAATTGTGATATCTTTATAACGCAATTGACTTAGATTTTGTAATTTAGGGAAAAGTTCTATCCTTATATAAAGTAATGATACAAATAATAAATTCTTATAATTTCAGTCTAATAATTTTCATTGTACATACGCCATATATGGCTTTAAACACAGAGCAGAAAACATGAAGTTGGTGGTATTTTAAATTTATTTATGTCTTTACCATCCTAAATGTTTGAAGCACATTGGGCAGACACAGATTGTCCATAAGTATCCAGGAAACCAGGTCATCACGTCTGAAGACTGGAAATAAACAATAACCTCATCGTATGATTCATAACAAATCAAAGACCATTCTGCAGAAACTATAGTTTTTACTTTCCCGTAACTTATAGCTGCAGAACTGTAGCTCTCCGAAAATATTGACAGACCAGAGAGATACAGTGCCACTCATTGAAAAAACTGTATACATATTTATTGCACACAAAAAAGTGCAGTTGAAGCAAGAATTTGGAAGAATTAACCTTGAACCAAGTGCAATTTTTTTGTGCGCAATAAATATCCGGTTTTAAATGGGCGGCACTGTTGCTCTCCAGTCAATATATTTTTTTTGGAGAGCTACAGTTCTGCAGCTACATAGCTTAGTGCTCTCAACTGTTGTGCTTATGAATTGAAGTTTGTTTTATTTTTAATTAATTTCCTTGTAAATGAGGTGCCTCTTGGTAAAGAAATGTTCAAAACCTGTAGGTGTGGTGGTCTTGGGTTTGTTCCCCTGAAAGCGAAAAGCTTTGTGATCCTGTCTCTTACCTGAGAAGATTCTGTAACGTTTGCTTTAACAGTTGTGATTACTTCAAAATATACACCTGTAAATTAAAATGTGAATATAACTAGTGAGGATCTATTCTGAACATGTCAAAACAGAACATGTATATATAGATGCTTCATTCATAATTTACAGTGAACATGTACTGTAATATATTGGGTATGCATTTATCTCCTTAAAATTGAATCGTCATGAAATTGTGTGAAGTACTACTTTATTAGAATTATGTCTGCACTACACACTTGTTTTGAGGAGGCAAAATTGATCAAATATACTGAGAGTTATGGGGAGCTGCATACCATCTGGGTTTTTGAATAATTGTATGAGTGTTCCATTCCGTCCCCCTATTGTATCGTTTCTTTGTCTGTGTGCTAACTTGCTGGGTATCTGGATTAAATGAGATGGGTGCACGATTTCATGTCCACAATTTCTGCATAAGATATAATCTGTAATGTAAATACGGACAATCTAGTTAAATATTTAGAGGAAATTCGAAATATCAGTTAGCTAATGTCTATAATAAAGCTCATCAAAACATTCCAAAACGTAACTGACAGCATTAATTAAACATGAATTTGCTTGTACCGACGTAATCAAATGTAGATGCAATGACACGGCTGTCTAAATAATATGCAGTAAGCAAGAGAAAAACAAATTTAACAATCGCGCAAATTGATTGTTTCCTCATCATACGTCGACATTTTTCGCACTGCATTGTGGGATATGCTTACAGATTTTTGACAGTTGTCACGTGGTTGACCGATTTTCTCCTTGAATTAGATAAACATAGCTGTTCTTTCCACCTCCCTCAAAAATAATAAGCAATGCACGTGATATCAGCCAAATTAAAAGGCTTGGGCCACTATTTTGTTGTTTCTTTTGATATTATATAGTTAGTCACATCAAATTACAGTCATGAAATAGCCTTGCATAAGTTACTTTATGAAACGAATAGTCAATATTTTATTTTCCTTAGAGGGAGTGAATTTACTTATTGGAATGAAAATCAACACGAAGCAGCTAAATTGATTGACAGCTCTCTGTTGAGAATGCAACACAGACCCTAGCCTTTATTGACCAAAGTTTACCAAAATCTATGTAGAAAATGGTTTATTTTGATAGTTATTGTCATTTGCAAATGAAATATTTGAACTTTTACACTCCTAGCCAAATAATAAGGTTTATTTATGTTGCTGAAATTCTTTCGTTAACCTTCACCTTGGATTTTATTATAGCCAGCCAACCAAACCCGGGAGGTGTGCGAAAATCTACCAATCAATGCATAGAAATATGTCACGAGGTTTTGTTGATACCAGAGCGAAAGCTCCGCCTCTGAGCTACCAAAACAAACCGGCGCAAAATACCGGCATATTGTTGCCCATCTCAGCGACTATTCAGCGATCGTTTTAACCTATTCATACATACTGGATAACATTTTTTATTGTGATATGATTCTACCAACTATGAACAACCAAACAAACTAAGATGTCGGGAAATCGTCGGCTTGCAAAGAGGTCTATTGTTGGTACGAAAATCTGTGCCCTGTGGAAAGATGGGAGATTTTATCCTGGGGTAATTACAGATCATTCGGGCGAGCCGAGCATTGCCGAAGAGACAAAATACACCGTTGTATTCGATGACGGATTTCAAAAAAGTGTGTATTCACGGCATATTATTGGACAAGGGTTTCATTCGATCAATTCCTTCCGCTTAAAAAATGGCCAGAAAGTTTTTTTGACGATGCACGGCCGAGAGGTCGCCGGGGTAGTCGTCCAACACGACACCGACAGCGACAACGTCGTCGTGAACGTCAGACTGCAGAATGGGGAGGGAATGGATCTGGAGGTCCGACCGGATGACATTCGTCTTTTACCGAGCCGGAAATCGGCACGACTTGTGGACCAAGACACGGATTATTCCAAGCTGGCGGACGTCTCCGTCAACGAGCCCCGGAAACGACCGGTGTCTCACGTCATAGACGTACCCAACGTCAGCGCTCAGTGAGTATAAAATTACGTTCTCGCAAAAATAATGCTCCCCCATGACTTTTTTTTATTTGATCATTAAATATATAAAATCACTTTGTTGTCAAATTTTATAAATCTGATTTAATTTCTCAGATTGTTAACTTTTTTTTAAAAATCTGAAATTATATTAAATGTACATCTGATTTAAATTGCTACCTTTTTGTTTTAATTTCAAAAATCGAACAAGAAAATTGACACCTTTCTCTGCCGCCAGGTTATTGCGACTCGGTATACAGTTTGTTTACAGTCCGAGGATATTTTGTAAACAAGGCCACATGATCTGGAATAGGGATGGTCAGCAGTGCTTAACCTTTTTACTTGGGCATACCACAAAACGATTTAACGGGACACTTTAAAGCGAAGGTTCAAAGTCGATCGATACCCGATTATTTAGAAAAAAAATATCTAAATGAAAATTACATCAGAAGTTCATTAGCTGCTTTTTTTTTCATATGTATTGAATATTGGTCATTGACAGCTTCTATAGCTGGCTTTTAAATAATTGTTCCATAAGACTTGCGTTATATCTAAAAATAGATAATGCACTATACAGATTTAAAAAAAAATTACAAAGTGACTGTGCAATAATTCGTGCTTTATATATTTAGAAACCAAACCTACCAAGTTTTAGCTATATTTAATTTTTTTTAATTCTAATTTAGCCAAACTGAGTTTACTTAAAAAAAAAATGTCATACAAATCAAGATTAATTCACCGTATAATTAACAACTGGTCACGAAAACGCAAAAGACGCAGCGTCGTGGGGTACAATTTAAGAAAATTTCTCCTAGTCTCTCTGTGAGTATAAATGATATAATCTTTGTCACATTTGTGTCCAAATCTGTTTCTCCAAAAGATAAAAAAACAAAAATAAAACACGATGGTGTTCACGCTGAAGGACTCTGTATGTCTCATTTATGTTATGACCCCCTCTTCCCTCCTTTAATAGGTCTGGAATGAGGTGCCCTACTGAGTGTGGCATCTAATACCATCAGCCTTTCTCTTGGGTTAAGCGATATGTTAGGCCGTCAATCAACTGCATGTACACTTCTTTACATTGCAGACGATACCGACGATCGTCATCAGACCAGGAGGAAGATGACGTCAGAGGTGAAGACGTGGAGATGATGGACGAGACCATTGCGGCGATGGTGCTGACCAGTTTATCCTGTAGTCCTGCGTCTCCACAGTTTCAGGGATCCTTTACAGGTAAACAACACCCCCCCCCCCCACTCCAACAGAGCCAGTTGTCCCTATATCTAAATCCCCCGGATCACTCAATGAAAGAATATCCGAGAGAGCAATGTACTTTTTATATTTTTTACAGATAATAACTTCAAATTCAATGCCCTCTCAAGCAGTGCTAATAGCAGTGGGTTCCATTCCGAGCGGAGCGACCCCTCCCCACCCTCGCTGCATCTCAGTGAGAGCGCACCTGTTCGCTCCTCTGGGGGCTTCACAGTGGGCTCTTACAACAGAGATGACGAGATTGAGATTGATTTTGACGAGGAAAATGTCGACGTGGACACGGTGGAGAATAAACGAAAACGTCAGGTACGGGGATACTCTGGTTATACTGTAACATATGGTAAAGGGCTTCCGGGGGCCATAATTATACAGAGAGAGGGAGAGAGAGAGATTTATGTTATTTGAAATGAGAAAAACGAATGCAAAGAATTAGAGTTCCTTTGCAATTGACTCGATTGTGTTTGACTCGTTGAAATGTAGGAATGTGTTGTGAGGTAGCTGTTTTCTACTCATGGATGAAATAAATTATCAATTTAAAACGTTACATGGAAATACCCCAAGAATTTACACCGGGCTTTTGATAATGATTTTACTAGAGTTTAATATGAATTGAGCTTAAGAAAACAAGAAATTCTGAGATAAAAATGTGAAATTTTGAAACGCTTGTATATGAAGTCTTAGGGGCTTTCTTTTTGACATCCTATCCTGCACGAAACTACCGCACCCCACCTCGGTGATCGGGATTGAATTTATTTAACCCCGTTTTAGCTGCTGACATCATTTTTAAAATAAATTAGATAAATCAATGCTTCGTTTTCAATTTCGAAAAAAGACGAAACTTGTACATAATCCCGATCACTGTCGAACTCCGTGCTTAGGCTGCGAACAAAGACCAGGAGGCCTTCTATGTAAGATTTGACCTAGATCTAGGAGCTATCAGCTGATTTCACAATGAGCTGGGCTATTTTTAGCCCGGCATATTCTGACCTAATAAAAACACAGGTATAGCTTGGTGTATATTCATTCGTCAGTAGTCATGCGTGAAGTGTTTTTGACAACATTTACAAGAGAATGAATTTTTAAAAAGCCAAATTTTTGGTAAATATAAACATTTAACCATAAAATCTCTGCGTTCGCTGATCAATATTCCCATTATAAGTTCTGTACTGCTAGTACGTCATGAGGCCCCCACTGTTTGGGGGAAACTTCGAGGCTCAGTAAGAAATACCTTATTTCACTTGTCATATTTACAAAGAAAACTGACAGTTACTGGCCACAATATTTATATTATGTGAAGAGGGAATGCGAATAATTGTTTAACGTCGCATTATTCGTGGATCTTTTATCCAATTCTAATATATAGCCAATTATTCGGTAATTAATATATCATAGTATTTTATGCATTGCTCTAGGCATGTGTACGCACTTTTATATATGTAAATTTGAAATATATAAAAAATGTTAATATTGCTGTGATAACAGTCATGTTTATTTTTAACACTGGTTAGGTAAAATTAATTATCCCTATCACCAAGTACGAAATGCTAATTTGAGTAACATCAGGGATTATTTTAAGGTTGCCTGTACATGCGCTGACATTTCGGGGTCGCGGGTCGGCCTTGTTTTTAGATGACAGATCCCCTGTAAAGCGTCCAGGTGTGTTATGTATGTACAGAGCAATCTGGCTATAGCGGAAACCCCACAGTGTAACCTTACGTGACGGTATTAATTATTATGTACCCTAGCCTTCGCCGCGAACACGTTGACTTCATGGCATAATTCGCATATTGCGCTATCGATAGTTTCTGACAGAAACTAATATGTTGCGTGGTGTATTCCCCTTAAGACTGTAACTTACAGCATACACGTGGTATAATAACCCGGCCGGCGTTTTTGGTTCACTCATCCGGGTTCGTGAGTCTGAAATCCGTTTGTAGTGACGTTGCATTCCTGTTCATTCATAGGTGATATAATATAAGGATTTGTTGTCGGGGATCTTGAATAATTAAAAGAAAGATGTATCGTAATAAATATAATTAATTTACACAACTTGAGATGGTGCATGTATACCTATAAATTGAAACATAAAACTTTTGTATCTTGAGGTATTATTTCCATATACAAAACATTAATGTCTGCAGTTACCTTGCAATGGTGTATTTTGACTACTTACAGACAAACAGACGGTTGAGGTACCAGTGCACGTTTCCTGGATGTGGTCAGGTGACAGACACGTGTCCTAGTATTGAGAAGCACGTACGGCTAGCCCATCTGGGGTAAGAGTTTAAGACAAACTTTTCAGAAATAATACATGATTGCACTTTAATTAAGAAAGTTTACATATACACTGTACATGCTGTACATACCCGCAAATGTATTATATGAATTCAGCTGAGATTAAAAATCACACCTCTTTAGGAAATCATTACCATGCAAGTTTGGTTGGTTTGAAACAAATTTACAGAAAAGAAAAAAAATCTGTTTAGTTTATTTAACAAGATCATCTTTTTGTAAACAGTTGCAATGAATCCGATGATAGTCGGTCGGACGGCGAGGAGGAATTTTATTACACGGAAATCGAGGGTAATGTGGATAACGTCACCCAGAAATTCTCACAGATGTGCACATCATCCCCACCGGAAGTCCACGGTCATCTGTCTCCCGCCCTTCCTGTACCAGATCACGACTATCAGAAAAAGGTCTTTAAAATGTCGTAAATTCAACAAATGTCCATTTCTGTTTACTTGAATATCGAAATGATAAAATTTATATTATGACATTCATGCATAACTCAAAACGTTTTGTTTTCCAGGACCACAGCATTAAATCGCAGGCCTCATCAGTGCCATCTAGCGGTCTCTTTCATCAGGGGTTATCGCCAATCTCTTTTTCGAACCCTCCCCAGATGAAGAGATCAATGTCCTGGCAGAGCAATGCGCATGCGCCATCAATTTCCATGCATTCGGTGAGTTTTTAAATATAGTTATAAATTTATACGTGGATAATCTAACATATTGCAAAATATTTTTCGATTCCATCACATGTTAACATGTAAATTGGTAACTTACTATGGTAAAAATGTGATGCTATTTATTGTTCATTTTCAGCTTTCGCCTCCGATCCGAGTGACCAGACCAACACCGCACGAACGGTTACAACAACACCAGGCGCAGTCTCCGAAATCACATCTTTATTCTGTATCCCCCAAAACGGGCGGATTTCACAAGAAGCCGCGCAGCGAAGTCCGGAAATGTCGGAAGGTGTACGGCATGGAGAACAGGGACCAATGGTGTACTCAGTGCAAGTGGAAGAAAGCCTGCTCTAGATTTGTCGACTAAATCACACGCGCATAATGACGCCATATTGTCGTCATAGTTGTACTTTTCAGTGATATTTACTGCTGTTCCTCGGATATACAATACAACAAAGGAGTAATTTCCACTGCATATTCCAAGAAATGTCTTTCCTATTCCAGGTCAAATTCATGCGACAGTTATTGTATGAGTAAAGGCATCAATAAAATTTTGCAAAATGTACAGTCAAGGTACTTTCACTTTGAAGATAAATGATGATCAACGTTTCTTTGCCGAAATGTGTCAAGTTGTAGTAGGAAAGCCCATCGCAATCTATGTTTAATGCACTGTAATCTCTCTCTCTCTCTCTCTCTCTCTCTCTCTCTCTCTCTCTCTCTCTCTCTCTCTCTCTCTCTCTCTGATATATAATCTGATAACCCTTTTCAATTTATTGTACTATCACTGATTTTAATTATTGTATTCATGAACAATACATAATAATTTTCATTTCACTGCTGTAAATCAGTGTAAATTCTTGTCAGACGAAATCTCAGGTTGTATTTTATTTTATGTTGATGATGCAGTGCTTTGAATTTTTAATGATGATTTGACATTATGCATGTATGATTGCATCATAGATATACTAACTTACATGACGTGTGCTATATCGTGTGTGCCTGTTGAAGTCTATAACTCTTCAAAGAGATATGAGGTATATGATGCTTTATATATTTTTTTTTTGTTTAGACAATACCTGTTCCCGATGAAATTAAGTATTGGTCTCGGATTCGACAATTTTTTATCGATAATTTATTGTAAAATACAATTGTAGCACGTATTTTGTACAGGAAATCATACAAAAAGTAAATAAGTGATGGAATTACACAGCCATCTGTGAGGGTCGCTAGATAATAAAAAAAAATATTTTACTTCAAATATATCCAGTTTTCTTTTAAACCTTCTTGTTTTTCAGCAGTTGAATCGATCTCATTGTTTTATCAGATGGATGGGTATAGTGTCGTGCAATTTTATTTTTAATCCTTTGTAGCGAGTAGATGTATTTTAGACATCGATAAACTACGTGTACGTTACTCTTGTATATACAAACTCTATTTACCATAACCTATACATATATATTTGTCGTCTTTCATCAAGTATCACCGGTACTTTGTGGGATTGTAAATAAATGATATAACAATAAAATATTCCATTTAGACGGTTATAGTTTGTGTTTTATTTTCCTCATTGCAGCCCGGAGGACCGGGCTGCTCTATACATATAAGTTTAAAGTGGCAATATCACGCATCTCTTCAAAAACAGACTTGTTAAAATTTTCCTATAGGATTTGGAATTTTTTTCATACTCATAAATGTATACACTTTCCGAAAATTACAAATTTTATAAGTAAATAATTCTGATTATTTCATTAAAATTAATAATTATTTATGGTACATAAATATATACATTGCAACGTGTTCGAGGTTCCACATTCCATGCTATACAAGCACATGACGCATGCGTATAGTTTTCATAAACAAAACAGCATGGTAAGGGAATCCCGGTAGGCCTGCTACATTGACAAAGTCGACCAAAACGAAAAACAAAACCAAAAATAGGGATTGAAATTAAAAAAACAACTTTCCTGACAAAAAATTATTAGGGAGATTAATATAATTATTGGATTAAGAAGAAACGGGACCTCGGCTACATTCACATGGGGCTCGCGAAGGTTCTACCCTACAGGTTTGTTGATACATGCTATCATTTCTCGTATCTCCATAGCTTTCAAAGAAAAAAAATCAGTGTAAAGTCAACATTAAAATGCACTTATGACATATAAAAATTATTGCCATTAGAAGTGCAAATTGTATTGGAACTGCAGAAAGATTTTGTTTGACATTTTGCCGCGATGAAGTATGATTTGGTGGAATTCCCTTTCCAGCACCCCAATACATAAAGCGTAAACATTTGTACTTAATCATGTTAAATGCGTCTGAATACACACTAAAATGTTAACTATTATTAATTTACCGGAGAGTTAAAATATTTTGATTCTGAAAATTGCTTTTAACTAATATTCCATTATAATTGTAAACCCTCCATTGTATGCACGTGCAATTTTAGAAATCACGTGGTACAAGTAAACAGGTCTAAGTAGTACGACCCTTGATTTTCCGGCAGATTCTAATTACGTTAATTTTGTATGAGCAGAGAATATTTATTTTTCTCAAAATGCTTACTTCAACTTTTTACCTTATTCCTGAATGATATATTGTGAAAATTTGAATGAAAAAGCACACGATTTGCAGCCGTATTGCCGCTTTAAGCATGTTAAGTGTTGGTGTATGGGGATTGGGGTGGGAGTAGTTATATAGAATAAAAGTTTTTGTAAACATTTAAAAGATTGTTATTCAGAATGTTCTCTCCCGTTATAAATTACAAGATACATAATATATTACTTCCATTAAGTGAATCTGTAAAAATATATATGTTTTTCATATTTAATATATAAAGTTGCTTATCATTTACTATCGAAAAAACGACACGTTCCATTTTTTATATTTAATACATTTTTGAATATAGGTGATGCATGTGTCTAACTTCAATTTATATCTTATGCAGCCAACATTTACTTGAGGAATTGATCAAGTTTAAAATGGTAGTTTTTTTGATTGATTTTTATCCGACTAGAAGTTTTCAAAATATTCGGGACTATCGTCTCAATCAATTATACGTATGCCTTTGACACATATCGAAGCGGTTTGATGATCAAGACTCATTTACATTGTTTACTTTATATATTTCCCGGGCGACAATTGATGGTTACATCAATGTTTTCTTGTTACGTAGATGTTATGATGCTGTGATTATTCACCTTGTTCTTACTACATGTACCTGTAGCATCGGAAGCTCATGAATAGTTTGGATTGATGTCAGAAATTAGAGTCATTGATTTAAAATTTTGATGTACTCGATTTTCTGAATTTATAATATTAATGGTCATGTTCTTTAACTGCTTACAATTTTGTGATTGATGTACAAAGATGAATTTTATATTATTTATTATGTTCAGTAAGAGCAAGAGCCATCTTATGCATAAGATGGCCCTGTACTTATATCAATTAATTAACTATCACCCTCTTTCCCATTTCATGTATCAAAATAAAGTAGACACTTGGTGCTTTCATTTTCTATAATAAAATTTCGTTTTGAGATTCCAGATATTGGAAAACAGATTTGAGATATTGCAATGTTTTTGAAATTTGCAGAAAACATGCGTATTTGAGTACCTTCAGCAAAGAATTAAAATACCGGTATGAGCACAGCCCACGATCCAAAAAATAAAACATGTTTTTTGATCTTCAGAAACAGAGCTTTCACTATGTATTTGCATATTTTGGATCAGAGGTTGTGCTCTGTATGAAATACAGTGTATTGAAAAAATGCTTCAACTTTGGGTCATTTTGAAAGGAATTTACAGGGTGTGAGGAAAATGACGCATTTTATGACGTCATAATGCATTGACTAGATGGGAAAATACGTCACGATTAATAGATACGTGGTCACCAACACTCCAAGTGATAAATTTATACTGCATTTGCAACCTAAACTGACCGGTTTTGATTTTTCAGAAATTCTCAGGGCCAAATAAGGCCCAAAGTGGCTCTTGTTCAGAAGATTTGAAAAGTCGAGTCCAAATTGAATAGAACACCCAAAAAAAACATGCATTCCTCAACTCTAGGGAAGGCATACTAGCTAGTGGATTGCAACTCGCTTCCACAAAATCAATAGTAATTATTTTAAAATAAACTTTCATACTTAATGCTCTCTTTACTTTTTTGGGGGGTGGGAGTGGGGGTTAAAGTGCATTTAGTATTCATGATAACAAAGCGGGAGTTGGGTTAAATAAAATAAACAAAACTAACTGCTGCACAACAAAGATTACTAAAGGGAATGAAGATCATATTCTAAAAGGTTATGTACCTAGTGCAACAATGTACATGGTGACTGAAATATGACTTCCACAACAGGTACAGCAGCCTACAAGCTGAGTTGAATATCCATTAAATTTGTGATGGAAGTCCATCCAAATGAACAGTAGCCTACAAGCTGTGGTGAAGGTCAATTCAAAGACACATCAGCCTACAAGCTTTGTTGAAGGTCAATTCAAAGATACGGTAGCCTATTAGCTGTGTTTAAGGTCATTCCAAAGCTACATTAGCCTTCAAGTTGTGAAGGTCCATTCAAAAGAACAGTATATAATCTACAAGATGTGGTGAAGGTTTATCCAAATGTACAGTAGCCTACAAGCTAAGGTGAAGGTCCATACAAATGTACAGTAGCCTACAAGCTAAGGTGAAGGTCCATACAAATGAACAGCAGACTTCAAGCTGTGATGAAGGTCCATCCAAAGGTACAGCTTATTTCAGTTGTTATGCTCCTGCCTTTGCAGCCGGATGATACGGTGGAATTTTCGAAGACACGTTGTGAATTGCCTCTGTTTTTCACATTGTCGCTGTCACCAACATGCCAGCATTAAGACCCATCCTGAAGAACTGATTAAACACTACTGTCCACAAGCTGTGGTGAAGGTCCATCCAAAAGTACAGTAGCCTACAAGCTTTGAATGTCCATCTAAAGGTACTAACAGTAGCCTACAAGCTGTAGTGAAGATCTACCAAAAGTAAAATATAATCTTCAAGCTGTGATGAAGATCATTCCAAAAATACAAATATAACCTGTGGCGAAGGTCCATCCAAATGTTCAATAGCCTACAAGCTGTGATGAAGGTCCATCCAGAGGTACAGCTGCCCACTAGCTGAAGTGAATTTCCATCCAAAGGTACATGCTGTGGAAAATTTCTATCCAAAAGTAAAGTTGTTTTCAAGCTGTGATGAAGGTCCATCCAAAGGTACAGCTGCCTTGAAATAGCTTCAAAACAGCAGCCTACAAGCACTGTTGAAGGTCCATCTAAAGATACCATAGACTACAAACCGTGGCGAAGGTTTATTCAAAGGTCCAGTAGCCTAAAATTTGTGGCGAAGGTCAATCCAAAGGTACAATAGCCTACAAGCTAAGGTGAAGTCCACCCAAATGTATAGCAGCCTTCAAACTAAGGTGAAGGTCCATCCAAATGTACAGTAGCCTACAAGCTGTGATGAAAGTCCATGCAATGGTACAGCTGATTTCAGTTGTTACGCTTCTGCTTTACTTTTCTTGCGCAGGGCTCTGTTAGAGATCTTTTTCAGCAGGAATGTGGAATTTTGACAATTGTGGATTGCATTTTTCACATGTTAAAATATGAGCATTAGTTTAATTTACTGCTGTCTACTTGTTGAACACTATATGTAAGTTGTGTGAAGGTCATTCCAAAGTGCCTATAACATGTGGTGAACCTATATAGATTCCCTTTTTTAATTGCCAAAATTTAATTTGTTGGACGATAGGTTGAATATTTTGCTGGTCAACTACATTAAATATAGCTATGATCAATTTATTTGCAAGATTTCATGAGGTTCCCAGCACATTTCAAATATCTTAATGCTTCTAGAGTTTATGTGTAAAAACTTGACAAGATACATTGAGGTTATGCCCTTGCAATCAAAAACAATGTGTGGTCTACAGGTTGTGGTGAAGGTCCGTCCAAAGGTACAACAGGTTCAAGTGAAGGATATTTCTTTTTCAAAAAACAATACAGAATCGGCATACAAACACACGACAGTATCACTTGTCTGGAGAATGTACGGATAGTTTATAAATAAAATACTAAAATAGACATCGCATACAAGTTAACGGTCTTTTATCCAATTGCAAATAGTATTTTATTTGAGCACAAAAGACATTTTTCATTGTACAAAATGTGACCTGATCAGCCTCTCACTGTGTACAAACTACGTCAATTTTGCGAGATAACGTCACATTGGCAAGTGCATTGTGATCGATGCATCGTTTATAAAATATTGTATGGGATTTAACAAACGACAAAACTGCATGTAATAGTAAGTTTGTATGTAGTATACAGCTATCCAGCTGTTTGAAATAGCAAATAATTTCATTTGGTGGTATTTTGAAGACCTTTTATTATGTGAGACGTCATAGTAAACATTTCATCCAAAAATTAGGCCCCGCCTCCTTACTTTAACCTTAACTGTGCTACAAAGCCTACAAGCTGTGATGAAGGTCCATGCAGAGAAACAGCTGCCAACTAGCCGAAGTGCATTT